TGAAGGGGGATTTGAAAGCACCATAAAGCAATGATCTTGATCTTCAGTAAGCTTTTCTTGATAAACTTGCGAATGAAGCTTGAACTTGAATTGTATTGCTTCACTCTACTATTCACCCTAATAGTATTGGATTTATATAGGATTTAGATGTTGACTTTTTCTTTCTAACAGGGACTCTTTAGCTAATTCTACGGCAGACGGTCATGCATTATATATGATCTCGCGTCATAGGTCTATATCAAGAATGAAAGTTTGTTTTTCATTCCTAAATGCATGCCACGTGTATTTGACATGCTAAGCGATATGAATGTTTAATTCACAGTGCAAAAGCAACTTTAAGATGTTAACAACATACCACTCGTCAAAGATACAAACACATCTTCATAGGCTTCGACTTAAACACACTCATGTTTACCTAGAGCCCTGGTCAGGTTTGGAAAATAATAATAAAACTGAAAGAAAGTGTTGTAATTGCAGTTACATGCAATAACTCTTACAACAACTTACCCGCATGCAAGCAACATTTGCATTGCAACTGCACATTGCAGCAGGCTACCAATCACCCCTCAAAAACTTAAAAAACAAGGTAAAGAGGAGATAAACTCAAAATAAGCATGTAGCTTGATCCCTACAGCAATCAAGTCCAGTTTAATTCTCGGTAACTCAAATTAAGCATGTGTTTTCTTACATCACTCATTTGTTTGCAAAAATGATCGTGTAGATTGGTTGATAACACCGCATCTCTTTGAAATGCCGGGAAGGACAAATAAAAAAAACAAATATCCTGGAACAGTTCAAGATCTGCAGCATATCCACAAATGATACACTTAAATTACAAACACTCCCAGCCTTCTTTCTTTAATAAATAACAGAAAAGCAAGTAGGGGGCCAAAAGTAAAAAAGAAAAAAGAAAAAAGCATAGGAAAGCTCACAACTCCTCTTCTAGCTTGCAGTTAGCTTCAACTGCTGCAGCTTCTAATCTTCTCCAAGCCATTTCTCTCTGCTCTTCCAAAGCTTTGGCCTTGGACTCTTTCTCTATGTACTGCTTCTGGCACTCATCAAAAAGCTCACCGTCCATTTCAAGGAACATTTTGCGAACATTTGCTGTGAGTCCATGAACTGCCTGGTTCCAATGGCTCTGTATGTTCTTCTCCAAGGCTTCGAATATGATGGGCAAGATTACACTACGGTTTTGGGCGATAAGGCCCACAATGTGGTCGTTGTTCCATAAAAAAAGGGACCTTTCAGCAACCTGATAGATGTTTGTTACAATTTTAGCTCAGGCGAAGCATGTAACATATAAATAGTAACACAAAACATTGGCAAAAGCAAGTATACGTTACTACAAGAATCTGGGGACAGGTTAAATCAGTACTCCTTTTCAAACTTAGTTAAATTTGCAAAAACGCAGCAATACAGACTTGACATGCTGACGAATAGGAAAATGGAGCAAGAGAGCACAACATAACGCAGCAAGTACTCCCACTGATTGATGGTCAACAAAACATATAAACCAGAAGTTCATTCATAGTCCTAGAAAATAACAAAACAAACGGAAAACAAATGAATACTGCCTGTAACTAAGGCAAAAGTGTTGTTGAGTACGGGGGAGAGTTGACCAAGGAACCCGTCACTCCCAGACACACACACACACACACCCCACCACCACCACCACCTCCTCATCAGAATCATTCTAGTATTTCAAGAAGGATGTTTGAGAGAATGGGTATCTCACACAGGGACAAATAGCGCAATTCAGTAGCAGCTGTATCACTGTCTGATGAAGCATGATGGAGAAAAGAAAACCAGAAAATAGATATGAAGCATGATGGAGAAAATTGCTAATTAAATCAAAAGTTGAAAGTACCTACAACGTGGGGGCATTTATCGAGAAAGTTTAATATAAACTTGCCACCATTCCAAATATTTAACCAACCACTTGGTCAAATTACCAGTTTTGAAGCCACAAGTTTTTCCAAACATTTACTTCTAATTCTACACTCTGTAGAATTTCACCCTCCCTTACTCAACATTATCTTTATATGATTTTAGCTCAGTTGCCATCTTATAAACTTTCCAACAGTCTTTTTTTATCACTAGACAATGCTAGAACCCTGAAGTTGTCGAGTTATCCCCCTAGAACTCGCTTCTCAACAACCATCTTCATCTTGATTTATACGTTATGCCCAAAAAAAGATACAGGAAACAACTAGTCCAAAGCAACAATGGGACCAATGAATTACATTGAGATCTCACTTTAAATCGAACCAATCAATTAAAATTGTGTAATTCCCCTGACTCAACAAATAGGTTTGGCATTCATCCTTATTCAAAACTTCAAAGTGTCTACAAATTGCCCAAGGCGTGATGCTAGAAAGAAAGCAGCAGTGTCAAGTGTAAATATGACGAGCTCACAGGTGCATCTGTCATCCAAACACTTGAATCACCACTTGACCATAAAATATGATACCAGGCAATCATGCAAGATGCATGTGAATAAAAGGAAAACTGGTACCATACTGAAGCCTTTCAACTGCTAGCTTATAATATTTCCCCTCAAGGATTACTGTAATATGACATATTTTTCATCTCAGCAGTCCATGCATTGTACAATGATGTACGATCAAATGTTTTCCCCAGTCAGCAAGCCTTGTTCTGTCCGATTGCATGTTTATCGAAGTTCACAATACCCTCTAATCAATTTCACTAGCCCATTTGACTTGGCCACCAAACAGAAAATATATTTATCAATTGTGCAAACACAGTGCAAACAAACTGCCTAACAGCCAAACTAAAAAATTAAGATGCAAACTGTAAATTATTGATGTTAACATGCAAGGGTCCTCAGCATTAGCTGAATTCAATCCCAAAAGACATGAAGAAGCTTGGTGTATGAATCTTTGCCATGCATCTTAAGTAAGACATGCTTCTCATCATAACCCTGAGTTTACTGATTCATGCAACCATTCTAGTCTAGTCGTAAGACACATATGCGGAGATATGTGCTTCATACTAAAGTAGTTTGAGCATGCATTTGATGTGCAAGACATAAGTAATTAATGCTAGTACCTTAAAAGAACTGACCTTTAAGAAGGTATGTTGTGTTTGGAATATCAAAATCTCTTTAAATTCATAATTAACAAACTGTGAAGTGGAACACAATCTAAATAGTACTTAATTTAGCTTTAACAGCCATTAGCATTTCTGTTTCAGGTTTCAAGTTGTTTAGATGGCTCTAGGAAAAGATCTAAGAGTGACAACGACTAAATCCTAAATTTATCTAACTTCTGCCCATGCCAAACGATGGCAAGTTAGGTTCATTTAAAGTAAGGATCTAACAGGATCACAGGCATCAAGATTGGCTTCTGTAGCCTTAACCATATGACCAGAAGAGAAAGAAATAGTATTTGATATACATGACTACCAGAAGTGAGAAAGCAAATATCATTGTCCTAGAGTAACAGTTAAGGTGACCTTACACTAGTCATTGCAAAAAGATTTTTCATCATGACACTGTCTGACGTGATATCTAAATATAATATTTTTATCCAGTTGGGCATGTTATATGACAGAAATTTTTTCCATAACAAATGTCATATAATTTGTCTGAATCTTTGGCATCAATTGTGGTGAGTAAAGACGTGCCGAAGTCTTGATACTAGTGGTCATGGAAAGCTAACTAAAGTCGGGTGTATATATGAGAAGGAAAATCACAAGCCTCCTAAGAGAAAAACTATGAGAAGGAATTTACAAACTGAAATCAACCCTCCCATAAGCAACAATACTGAGTAAGGGTGTGTATGGTTTGGAGTAGTTGAAACAACGAACGTATTTGCAACACCTTGGAGTTCCAACTCCCATTGTTTAATTGCTCTTCAATTTCAACGCTTACAAAGATCCCTTATTTTTGGCCTATTTTGCATTTGCAACAACATTTTGGTGTTGTGACAACATCTTGGTGTTGCAACAACATCCAACCAGATGTGTAGCTTAAAATGTCAATGTAGTTGAAATAACTAACATACATCTCCAACTACTACAAACCAAAAACACTTAAATGTCTAGATCTCAAATGTAAACAAATTTTGAGGTTCTGTGCCTCGCATGAAATGAATTTCAGAAATGAAGATTTCTTAAATAGCTTATAACCAGGTGAACCACCAACATATTAGACACATCAAAAAAGAACTACCAGCATCAGTCATGATTCAAAGTTCAAACCACCTAAAATTCAGATGCACCAAACTTGATGGACTTTTGTAGTTCTCAATGACATGTTAACAACTCAGTAAAGAAGCCATCCACCACCACCACTTAACTTGTATACAAAATAACTAAAATCTGTTTGTTCTATAGTCTCTACAAGCCAAAAGATTAGGGAACTAAATCCGCATGATACCAGAAAAACCCAGATCCCCTGCAGGTGACTGATTGTTGCCTCCATTTTCAGTCATTTCCATTTATATTATTCCCTAGCTACATCCTCTCTCATCTTCTCGGCTACTGCCCTCCTCTTTTGGTTGTGTTTTGCTCGTTAAGAGAAGGAAGGGAGATGAGTCTGGCAACAAGAATAAGCAGGGGAAAGCCATTAAGATGCGAGTTAGAACAGGGCAAGGACAAACCGACCCAATAAGATTGGCAAACCAGTAAATGACAGCAACAACATCATGGGCATGTCAACTACATGCGTACTGTGCTGGCATACAGTTAGAAACTACATTAGCAGGGTACTTCTAATCTGAAGCCGTACCCATACCCGACACGTACCCATACCCATACCCGTAACCAAATTCCTTAACCTTGCATATATGCATACATCTACTTGAGCATGTACTCAATTATACAATATATATTTTAATGTAGAACACTTGTCATACATTTTTTGGGCATGTATCCTACACATCACATCCACGTTTGAAACTCATTGGACAAAGGTAAGTTCTGAATTATGATTTTCAATGGTTGTTTGGATGTCTAGTTTAGAAACTAGTGACTTTCCAATTTATAATCCACACAATAAAAGAAACATAAAAATATTATAGGAATTTTAATTCTCATCCTTATTCTCATATAAATTATTAATTTCAACATATAATATGTGTATATAAATATTTATATATCTATGTCCCCATACCCTACCTTCTACAGATTTGACATGTCCTGTACCCGTACCGGTATACGTACACGTACCCATGCAACATAGGTCAGAAACAATACTTTTTACACGCTATACTAGTGTGCAAAAGGCCCATGTCAAATAAATGCCAATCTTTTGTGAACATCGGCTGCATCTGTAGCAGGAATACAGACAATACCGTGGAGGAGGAATAATATGATGCCATCAGCAGCTCTTAGTATCAAAGCCTGTTAGTTGAACATCTGTATATCGTATATCTCCACTCTCCTATTAGTTCAACATACCCCAGTTCATTCAAATGGAAAAATGCACTCCATCAATCGTTCTTATTTATCAATTACCATCTCTTCAAGATGCCTGATGTGCATTCAAATGGAAAGAATGTTGCATTCAAGATTAATTCACATGATGAAATTATCTAGAAGCCAGAAATTGTTCCAATTTTTTTTATAGAGCAAGCAGCAAAAAATAAAAGTTTTATATAATTAGATCCAGGTCTAGCAGATTCAAACTCCCTAAACACTTTGTTAGTACATTTTGTAAAATGTTTAGATTAGGATTGACGGCTAAGATTCTTATAGACTATATGCTCCAAACCAAAGGTCTCTCCAATTCTTTATTTGAACCATTTAACAACATGAGGTTTGATATATCATTAGCAATTCCCAAAAATATGATTAACTCCTAAAACATTCAATTAGGTTTATCCTTGATAAACTCCTCTTAATAAATTCCAACAAAGATTGATTGTTTAATTGCCTGGATGGCCATAATTATGTCCTTGGGAATAGGACTCACCTCCTGATCAATGAATTCATAGACCGAAAACTTCCGTTGCGAGTGTCCAAGATTTCAGAATAAATTGGAAAAGAGGAAAGAAAAATGATAACCATTTGTCTGATAATAAAATATGCAGTAAACTAATCACATAACCATGATTAGAAGGTAAAGATTCATTGATTTGGAAAGAAGACAACATTAAAACTATTGGGCTGACAGACTGTGGACAGGAAACACTCGTGATATTCAAATGAATGCTTCAGACAGTTAATTAACTATATACAGTTACTCTAAAGTGGAATTCTATCTAGTATATTCTATGTCCCTGAAAGTAAACTTTTTCTCTATTTATTCTTGTTTGTAATATAATTTCGCTCTTATTTGCTAAAAATCTCTAAGTCAACTACAACATCAGGTCGACTTTCTCCCGGTAAATCAGCCACACAAGACACCACATTCTTTGACTTCATAACAAATAATCATAGAACCAGAATTGAACAATAATTGTGTGTGTGTTCCAAAACAATGGCAGACTCGACCATGTTTCAAAACAAAAAGAAATTAAAAACACACGAAGCAGACAGAATAAGAGAAAAATGAGGCTTTAGAGGAGAGTGACGGTTAAATCCAAAAATAAATTTACTTCCGCTCTTGAGGATAATAATCCCAACTCAATAGAAAACTCTATAATAAAATTAATCCTCACAGATGATAAAGTACTAGCCTCGTCAAAGGTGAGGAACCATCCGCCTAGTACAGGCTACATAGGTAGGCATGGACAAGTAATGAAGCTTTTAACTAATTCCTTGTCAATGTAATGTATTCGTCAGAATGGTACTAGCTCCCTAGCACAAAGATAGGTATTTACCAGATACTGTAGCTTCTCATTAGTCCTACATGCAAGGCCATGCAGCTTCTAATGTATGACCTTTTCCGTTGTTATCACTATCAAAGTTACAAAGATATGCATCTAAAGATGGAAGCATTCATGCTACTTTGTATCGTTGATACACTAGCAATACTGCCTCAAACCTATAATTTGCAGTTATAGTAATAACCATGAGTGTATCGCAAGTCAGAGAGCTGAGACTGTTAGTGCAATTCCTCGCTTAGCATCTACAGATCTTACTAGTCTAGTTTGGCAATATTTGTTCTTGACTTAAGAGGCACAAAACATTAATAAATGTTTGACACCAAAAACCGATTGAATAAAGCAGCGCAATCAACAAAGGTCCCATAAAAAGCAAGTACAGGACAATAATTAACACTACATTTCTTCATGAAAGAAGTTATGGATATGCATAAAAGACACACTTAAAAGCTTCAATGATGTCAAGACAATACACATCACAACTTTCAGAAGGAAATAAGAATAATAAGTCCGATCAATACCAAACTACAGGATATCAACGTTCTTCACATGAGGATGAGAAATAAGATATATGCTGAATAGGGAATGTTGACATCTAATATTCCACTTGAATCTACTTGTGCCAGGAACCATAAAATATGTAACAAATAAACAAACAAATCCATATATACCGATGTGATATTTTATTACCCAAGGGCAAGTTCAAAGAAACTAAAAAGCAAAATAAAGGAGGCAACTGGTCTAAAGTTTCTTTTTAAGAACCAGCACCAGTAACACATTAGATTGTCAGAAAAAGTAATATCATTATCTACTGCTTCCCTCAAATACACGTGTTCTGACCTTACATACCTTGAGTATTCAATTACAAATTCACCAATATCAGCATGATGTTCTGTTATCTGAGGACAAATTAGCAGATATATTTGTGAAGTGAAGCAAGCAGGTGGCTTAAAAAAAATTCTTTTGGTCAAATATATTGTTTGTGCCTACACATGTTGGACATTGGAAGCCTCATAGGACGATAAGAATACCTAAGGATCCGGCAAAACTTTTCCGATCTACAATATTATTTTTCATTGACAGAAGGAAAATAGTAACAATGAACTGCGCAACTTGTGGAGGTTATGTTTGTCAAAAGGGAAAAATGAGCTCCTAGTGTTTTGTTTGCACATAAACGTTTTGTAAACTTGCAGAGCATATCCAACAAGAAAGTGTGTCTACCAACGCGATAATTCATTATCCAAGAGCAAAACTCATTGAAAGTAATAACAAGTTAAGTATGCAACTCATCTAAAGTTTATTAAGGACCAATACTAGTGCGTAGTAGTAACCCACTAAATTCTCCATTAAGAAGGAATACTGACATCTAGTTTCTTGTGTGTGTTTGAAACCCTACATATATCCTACCTGTACAGAAAACAAGTTTATATCTACCAATAATTTCGTCTTCTTTGGGCAAAATAATTGAAAACCTGCAACAAATGAAAAGTGCAACATCGCAAACAATGAAGAAAATTTTACTTTTTAAATAGGTAAAGGACCACCGCCTACCAACTTACTAGTTAAAGCAAAGACATTGAAAAAGAAAAAGAACAGACAAATTAAGAAGCATATACCTGAAAATGTGAGCTATTAAGGCACCGCGCGATCTGCTTAAAGAGCGGCACCATACATTTCTGAAACTCCGCCTGCTGCTATTAAGGCACCGCGCGATCTGCTTAAAGAGCGGCACCATACATTTCTGAAACTCCGCCTGTCCGCCTGCTGCGTAGCCTCAAGAACCTCCTCCAACTCCCCCAGGAACAACACCTCCTTCGAACAATTTGTCACCGGCCAATACTTGAGCAACCCCCTAATAACTGTATCCGCAAGCTTATAATCCTTCTCTACAAACTGTGTTATACAATACGAAAGCTGCTGATGATACACCCCAACAGACTCATACATTTCTGAAACTCCGCCTGCTGCGTAGCCTCAAGAACCTCCTCCAACTCCCCCAGGAACAACACCTCCTTCGAACAATTTGTCACCGGCCAATACTTGAGCAACCCCCTAATAACTGTATCCGCAAGCTTATAATCCTTCTCTACAAACTGTGTTATACAATACGAAAGCTGCTGATGATACACCCCAACAGACTTCGGCTTATGCAACGGTATCAAAGCCCTCACGAGAAACAACTTGTGCTCCTCCTTCATCGGCAATGCAAACCCATTGATAATACTCCCCAAAATTTCCAACAACTCCCCGATCCCCGCATGCCTCTCCGTCTCAAATATAAATCTATAGAAAATGTTATTAATAGCTTTACGAATAAAGGGTCTATGCACCATGAACTTGCCATAGATTCTATGAAGTATAGTCTTCAAATACTCCCTCTCTCGGGGGTCCTCAGAATCAAACAAATCAAGAAGCTTAAGTACAAACGAGTGGTCAATGTATCTCTTTGCAATCTTGGTGTCAGTGTCAGAGGACACAATGTAACGGAGCAGCAGCTCGTAGACGATCTGGAGGTGGGGCCAGGCGGCGTCGAGTAGGGGTCCTCCTCGTCGGGCTCGCCGGCGTCGGCGCCGGTGTTCTCTGTGGACGCCGCGGCAGGCATCCAAGGAAGATGTTGGCGAGTATCGTGCGGACGAGTCCTCCTCACGCTGATCGGATAGAGCGCCGGAGCGCGACTGACAAATCGACGAGCTCCGAGTTAGGCGTTTGGCCTGTGGCCTCCTTCTCTCTGGCGAACTTTAGGGTTATCGGAGAAGTCGAAGGAGAGGAGAAGCAATCTGGAGCTTGCGGTATGAAGAGCCGACTGCTGTCTCCAACGGGACGCTCTCTGAACACGGGGAGGCACTCGACGGCGGCTGAACCCGCCGACCGCGCCGAGAAGGAGGGGATAGGCTTAGGTGTTAGGGGTTAGGGTTGCTGGCGAGCGGGCAGGGCCGTCTGACCGGGGGGCGGCGGCGGCGAGAGGCGAGGGATCGCCGGCGTCAGGATTTGGGACCTTGCCGGCTGGCCCCGCTTCATTGATTGTGTTCAGCTATTTGTTAATCGAGAGATTGAAGCCTAGAATCTCGGTGGGAGGGATAAGAGATTTAGGGTTAAGGTAGGGTTTGAGGCGAAGATCGCCGGGCGAGTGAGAAGAGAGAGCGCATCAAGAAGAGGAGCGACGGAGCTGATGAATGGATCGATATTTGGTGTTCTTTTTTTTTAAAAATCTTTTTCTCCTTTTTCCTGGAATGATGGGAACGGATTAGTTTTCTTTTTTTTTTCTTCTTCTTCTCCAATAATAGATTAGTTATCGAAATGTTCACTTTTGAGAGACTCGGAACTTTTGAAGTTTATTATATTTCTTTTTTTAATTCTGGATAAGGAGCCATCATAGACTGTGTAACATTTAATTATGAGTTATGTATTAATTTATCGGTTTTTCTATAGAGTGCCCTTGTGCACTCTATAAGAGAGGAGAGAGATAGAGAGAAATGAATGAGGATGGGACCCCCCTGATTTGCATTGGGATCCTCTTTTCATTCATTCCTCTCTATCTCTCTCCTCTCTTATAGAGTGCCCAAGGGCACTCTATAGAAAAACCGTTAATTTATTGCATGATGTATGATTTTGGATCAGCGCGGGGTTGGCTCTCTCAGTCTTGTGCATAACTTTGGAATATGTAAGAGAACCCCCTACCTGATTTTTTTTAATAATCCAGACCTATATCAAGGTTAGAACCATAGTAGTCTTATTAAAACCTCCAAATTATCAGGATCACTAGTGGTAGGTATAGTCTCTATAACTTTTAAAATACCAAAAAATGTAATATAACACGTCATAACTTTTAAAATGATCAAATAACCCCCATAACTTTTAATATATCAGAAAACTGAAAACTCCTGAAGTATAAGGATAATCATTAAAAGCCTTTAATTTAGACATTTTATGCACAACCTCCTTTAACTTTGAAATTTCATCAAAACCCCCCAAAAGAGTCCCCTCTAGTAGTGTTTTTTAGTAAAATCTCTAAGCTAAAGTGTTTTTTCTATAACCCCTAAACTTAAAGGGGAATTTCTACTAGTTTCAAATAAATAGGGGCTTATGCAATAATGTTCAAAGTCAAGAGGTTTTTGTTGTATTTAGCCTATTTTTTATTCAGACTCGAGTAATATGTTTGACTGGGCTGTCAATCATAATTTTGGACAAACCACACGTATGTTTATGTCTTTATAAACCGTGATCTTTAACAAAATAACAAAACAAAATTATTATGTCAGATGAATTATCACATTAGCGTACACGATTTAATTTGAGCATAAATATGAATATTGAAATGGTGAATTTCTTAGAGCGGTATTAACGGACAATTATAATCTATCTTGATGCTGTTATATAGACAATGAAACATGGATACGTTCGTGACAGATGGCTACGGACGCGGTGTCTTATTCATTTATAAATTATTTGCTTTGTAACTTTAATGATTAATACCATGCTCATATTTATTCACTAATTACACAATTGAATTGTAAAATAAACAGTTAAGAATGTTCCCGTCTCCTTGGCATCTAGGCGATACTCCCGGATAGTTATGCAATCATACAGACGTACATTAGTTCAGCTCATATCTGAGATGCACGAGCATGCAACTAGATTAATGCCCTGTTTGGATGGAGGGTAGAGAGGGGGAGGGGAAGAGAAATGAGGCTTTCACCTTGTTTGGGAGTTTTTTTAAGGATATTTACTTCCTTTCACCTTCATTCACCTTACTCAACTCCCAAACAACATATTACAATTCTCTTTCCTTACCTTCCCTTCTCTTCCCGTTATTTACCTTTCCTTTCCTTCCCTTAGTAAACTCCCAAACACACCATAAAAGTCGGTAATGTTACGGTTTTTTTAAGCATCAGCAAGACCTCACCTCCTGCGGACGCAGAGTTCTTCAAATAAGCTTTCCTGCAGTAAACCACCCACATCAGGTAGTAAAATCCCACACAAAATGGAATCAGCGTTCGACCCCTGACTCGTTTACATTAACATGCGGCCCAGAGTACTGAACACTTTTCTGAATAAAACACAAGCCAGTTTCAGTGAATAAAACACTAAGCAAGTTTCATATTCACTATTAGAGGAACATCAACATTGCACAGAACACATCATTGTTAGCTTAGTATTTACATCTCCAAATGTCCATTTTACTAAGGAGAACCCAACTTCCAACATCACTCTGTGCCCTGCTAGTGTGCAGCAAGTACTCTCTAGCTCCAATCAGAAGACTGAAACCTCCCACGGCCTCGGCCACCACCACGACCACCTCTATCTCCATTCCAACCCCTTCCTCTTCCACCAAAGTCACTACCTGATCTATCCTGATGATTATTGTTATCATCATAATCTCCATTTCCTCTTCCTCCATATCTACCCAGAATTCCTCTTCCCCTGTTAAACCCCCTGCCCCCATCAAAAGCTACTTCCCTCTTCCAATAATTACCTTGGCCTTCACGACTACTATCTCCACCGCCCCAATCAGATCCTCTAGGTTTTTTCCAAGCATCCTCATTGCCACCATTATTCCATTCATTTGTTCCATTTTTGCTAGAGGAACCCCAAGTGGCCCCAGTTGAAACTTTCGGTTTCTCCCAGCTACTACTTGGTTCACTTCCCTGGCCCTCAACCTTAGGTTTGTTCGATGAGTTCCAAGCATCCTCATTGCCTTCTTTTTTCCAATTTGATGCCTGATTGCTACCGAACGACTTTGGTTTATCCCACCCATCTGCCCCATTCTTGGTAGAGTAAGTAGCTGCTTTACTCCAACCATCTCCATCTTTTCCAGAACCTTCACCTGCTACCTTATTCCACGGAGAATTCTGATTGTTACTTGAATCACCAGGTGCAGCCTTGCTACCCCATGCATCGGCTTTTTGCTCTTTATCAGCTTAACATTAAGGTTTAGTAAATCAACTTGCATATACATGTTAACTCAGAAAGACATTCATATGGCTCAAAACTATAATATAAAAAAAAAGACAATGAAATGAAAGCTAAATATAACTTCTCTGTATCAAACCTCTAGATGGTGCTGCGGCCTTGCTTCCCCATGCATCAGCACCTTGTCCTGGATCTGCTAGAGATAGATGGACATAATCAACTGGTAAATATTCATGCACCACGTGATTCTCAGAGTAACAAGAGTTTAAAAAATGATGAGAAAATAAAGCAAAGGGGCATGAATCACCTCTAGCCGAAGCAGCTAATTTTCCACCCCATGGATCAGCTTCTCCTTTATCTGATTAAGATATGATAAGTAGAAGACACGTTAGTGCAGACACATATACCATCCGAAGTGAAATTAACATACACACACAGAGAGCAGATAAAAAGGTTGCATATATTAGAATGTCATCAACCACCTTTAGCTGCAGGTGATGCCTTGCTACCCCATGGATCAGCTCCTTGTGTTTTATCTGTGTAGAATTAGAGTATCTTGTAGTCAATTATTTTGCAGGTCCAGGCAACAGAAAGAAATTTGCATGTAGTTTGCTCGCAAGAAGATGAAAAACAAAGATGTAGCTGCTATATATAAGCTTGATAACCTCTAGAAGAACCTGAAGCCCAAGTAGCAGCTCCTTCTCCTTGATCTATTAAGGATCAGAGAAAAGGACAAAATCATGTCAGATTACACCCTCGCAAGATGATGTTATACGGTTACAAAAAGATAATGGCAAAAAAACAGCATCCAGCATGATGCTTTTATTCTCACCTGGTGATATCATACCCAATGTCGATGAAATGGTTTTAGTGGAAGATTTATTCCAACCATCTCCATCTTTTCCGGAACCTCCTCCACCTGTTGTTTTAGCCCATAAAGAATTCCTCTCTCCACTTGTGCTAGAAGCCTTCACCCAGCTGTCAAAGGCTTTATCAGAATGGTTAGATTCACTTGGTGTCGCCTTACTACCCCATGGATCAGCATTCTGCTCTTTATCTGCTTATAGTTAAAGCATATAGTTAGTAGGCTTGCATGCATAAGTTCACTTAAGACGGACATTCATACTGTTAAGACTACCAAAAACAAGAGAGGAAAATGCTGGCTGTAATGGAATGTCAGGTATCACCTGTAGATGCTCCTGCCACGCTAGAACCCCATGGACCAGCACCTCTTTCTTGTTCTGCTTAGGATCAAGCAATCCAACAGTTAAGATTCCCAAGCAGAGACAACCAACATTACAATATAGGAAAAAGGTTTAGGCAAAGAAACAGGATGAAAATGATTACCTTTCTGATTCCAACTCTTTCCAGATCCCCAGCCCCCAAACTCACCTGACTTGTCCTGATTTTCTTCAGTTGCAGTCCCACTTCCTCCCCATTGACCCCTTCCTCTTCCACTTCCCCAAGAACCACCTGTCCTGTCCTGATTATCTTCATTGCCAGTTCCTCCTCTTTCCCCATATCGACCCCTTCCTCCTCCCCTTCCAGACTCCCAGCCCCCACCATAGTCGCCTTGCCTGTCCTGATTATCTCCATCTCCAGCACCTCTCCCTCCATATCGACCCCATCCTCTTCCCCTCCCAGATCCCCAACCCAAGTCACCTGATCCATCCTGATTTTCTCCATCTCCAGCACTTCTCCCTCCATACCAACCCCTTCCTCTTCCCCTCCCAGACCCCCAACCCCCACCAAAATCACCTGAACCCTCCTTATTATCTTCGTCTCTGCTTCCTCTTCCCCCATATCGACCCCTACCTCTTCCTCTCCCAGATCCCCTACCTCCACCAAACTCACTTGAACCATCCTGATTTTCTTCGTCTCTGTTTCCTCTTCCCCCATATCGACCTCTTCCCCTTCCCCTACCAGATCCCCAACCCCCATCAGAATCTCTTTGCCTGTTCCAACCATTGTCTCCACCTTGACCGCTACCAGCTCCATCGTCCCATCCAGATCCTTTTCCCCAGCCAGATCCTTGACCTCCGTCACTATCAACTGGTTTGTTCCATGAATTTCCACCACTTCCAAATCCACGGCCACCTTCAAATTCACTTGATTTTTCCCAAGTATCCCTCTTACTAGATTTCCAAGCATCTTCATTGCCTCCCATCTTCCAGTTTGACACCTGATCGCCACCAGAAGATTTTGGATTGTTCCATCCATCTGTATTATTTTTGATAGAGGAACCTGCTGCCATATCCCATCCAGACTGACCATCACTTGAAACTTTCGCTTTATCCCAGCTGCTTGGTTCACCTTCTTGTTTCTCAGCTGACTTGGTACCAATAGCAGCAGTTTCCCAGCTTGAAGATGAACTGTTATTTACAGCTACAGTGGTGCCTTTACAAGAAGGTTTGCTCCAACTATCTCCATCTTCTCCTGAACCTCCACCTGCTGCCTTATCCCATGAAGAATTCTGATCTCCAACCGAATTTGGAGCCAGTGCCGCCTTGCTGCTCCAAGTATCAAACTTTTGCTCTTTATCTGATTAAGTTTACAGTATTTGTAGCATAACAAATCAGCTTGCATATACACGAGGACATTTCACTGTTCAAGCTAAAGAAAAGAATAGAAAATGATGGCTGAATGGAATCCAATTATCACCTCTAGTTGCCACAGCCACATTGCTAACCCATGGATCAGTGCCTTGTCCTTGTTCAGCTTAAGATAGGTAGAAGTTAATAATCAGCTACAATATCCATACACTGTGGTTCGCACTGTACATATAAAGAAATTATAAGAACATAAAATGGTGTTGCTCACCTCTAACCCCAGCTGTTACCTTGCTAGCCCATGGATCCTCACCTCCTTGATCTGATTTAAGATAAAATTAATAGAAGAAACATGTTAGCTAAGACCTTAAATAATAGCATTCACAACTCTCCTTATTTTTTTAACATGCAAAGTGAGAACAAAGAAATGAGATAATTTGAAAACCCGCCTTTATTTGCAACTGAGGCTTTGCTGCCCCAAGCATCAACTCCTCGCGCATGATCTGTTTAACATGAAAATGAAGATAAATCATTTTGCATGTCCTTATTTCCCCTGTTTTGAGTAAAACTATATTTTGCATGCTTCCCTCCAGCCAACATAAAAAAGCATGCAAATTGTTATAATAACTAAAACTGGAGGAAAACATCGGCTATATTAGTTATGGGATTAATCACCTTTTGCTGCAGCTGGAACCTTGCTCTCCCATTGATCAGCACCTCTTTCTCTGCCTGTTAATGATTTACGGAAAAAATAATCAATCATCCTGACATCAACACAAAACAGACGATAACATTAACACTGCCAAAAAGAAGAAAAGTACTAGCGCAATGTTCCAGCGCACACTACATTCCCACCCGAAAATGAGCTGCTTGCTGAAGGTTTATTCCAACCATCTCCATCTTTTTCACAACCTACACCTTCTGTCTTATTCCATACAGAATTCTCCTCTCCACTTGCAGTGGAAGCTTTTGCCCAGCTATCAAAGGTTTTATCAGAATGGCTAGAACCTCCGTGTGTGGTTTTCCCTCCCCATGGGTCAGCTCTTGGCTTATTATTATCAGCTGAAGATTACAATAGTATTGTCAATAAGCTTGCACAAACAAATCCCTATAGAATGATATCCATAGTTCTTAAACAGCTAAATCCAGAAGAATGATTCACTGTAAAAATGCCAACTGTCACCTGTTGTTGTTCCCGCAATGCTGCTACCCCATGGATCAACACCTTGTTCTTGTTCTGCTTATAATCAACTCAATAAGACTAATCCTTCAGCCGAGATACCCATGATTCCAATCTACCTCACAGGTAAACAAATCAAAGACTAATTAAATACTACCATTACCTCTAGCTCCTGGTGTCAGCTTGGTACCCCATGGATCAGCACTCCCCCCATCTGCTTATTACCAAGTCAATAGGACTAATCCATCAGCCGAGATGCCCATGAATTCCAATCTACTATCACGGGTAATGAAATCAAAGACAAACTAATTAAATGGTAAGAATACCTCGAGTGCCTGGTGTCTGCTTGCTACCCCATGGATCAGCACTTCCCCCATCTGTTTAAAGTAGTCAATAGAAGAGAATTCATTAGCTTAGACATCAACCCCTTCGAATAATGATACAGGCAATTTTGACATATGTAAAGAAGAAATAGCAGTATGTAATGTCAGAATATTGAGTCACCTCCGGCTGCGAGTGATGCTTTATTACCCGAAGGATCAGCACTTCCCCCCTCTGCTTATAATGGTCAATAGAATAGAATCTATTAGCTTGGACACGAATCTCTTGCATAATGATAATCACACTGTTGACGTATGTAAAGAAGAAATAGCAGTATATGATGGATATATTAGAATACTGAGTCACCTCTGGCTGCTAGTGATGCTTTACTACCCCAAGGATCAGCACTGCTCCCTTCTGCTTAAATTGGTCAAAAGAAGAGAATCTACTAGCTTAGACATCAACACCTCGCATAACAATACTCGCATTTTTGAGATATGTAAAGAAGAAATGAAGAATATATTAGAATATTGAGTCACCTCCGGCTGCAAGTGATGTTTTACTACCCCAAGGATCAGCACTTCCCCCATCTGCTTAATAGTATCAATAGAAGAGAATCTATTAGATTAGTCACCAATCCTCACATAATGCTACTCGCATATTTTGATTCATGTAAAGAAGAATAGCAGTATATGATGGATATATTAGAATATTGAGTTACCTCCGGCTGGAAGTGATGCTTTACTGCCCCAAGGATCAGCACTTCCCCCATCATCTTACAATGGTCAATAGAAGAGAATCCATTAGCTTAGACACCAAACCCTTGCATAATGATGCTTGCATTTTTGACAAATGTAAAGAAGAAATAGCAGTATATGATGGATATATTAGAATATAGAGTCACCTCTGGCTGCGAGTGATGCTTTACTACCCCAAGGATCAGCACTTCCCCCATCTGCTTAAAATGGTCAATGGAAGAGAATTTATCAGCTTGGGGACCAAACCCTCACAAATTGGTACTCGAATTTTTGACCCATGTTAAAAAGAAATAGCAATATAGGATGGATATATTAGAATACTGAGTCACCTCCAGCTGTGATTGATGCTTTACTAACCCAAGGATCACTTTGTTCTTGGTCTGTTTAGATAAAGAAAAAGTAGTCAAACAGCTAGCAATTCCAAGCAATAAATCAAAACAGGAAAAGTGTTAAACATTAGCAATTTAGCATCAATCTCATCGAATCACCTCCAGCCACATGTGACACCCTGCCAGCCCATGGATCAGCTCCTTGTTCTTGCCCTGTTAAAGGTTGAGACAGAAAAGGCAATCAACAGGCTTGTACATGATGTTAAAGGTTGAGACAGAAAAGGCAATCAACAGGCTTGTACATGATATTCCAACTAGAAAAGAAGAAAATTGGAAGAAAGTATTGGTGATGTTAGGATGCTTTTAATTTGCCATCCACAGCAGGTGCCAGTTGGCTATCCTATTGATCAAAGCCCATCTTTAGTACCAAAAAAAATGGATGTGTGAATATTACAGAGAAAACCATAAGAATATTAGCTTATGCAGAACTTCAAAATGTAATTAAGAACATGACAATGCTTTAGGAAAAATCATTTTACAACTAAAGAACACAGAATGAATTTCTCATGACCACAAAACCTGCAGTAGCACCTTGCATCTATAGAAGACAAGGTTCTAAAAACAATCCCAGAGATAACTATCACAAGAAAAAACAGGAAATAATACTGCCTGTATATGACCGTGTATGCAATTTGATAACATATTTTTCATGTGCCCATATATTCAACCACTAAATTTTCATGTAATCCCTGCTAATGTTTTTTTTCCACGTATTTGATTTAGGTGGGTATGCGACTGAGATTTTTGCTCAGCATACACAAATGTGACCACACACATTGTACTAGCTTCACAGCTTTTCATCTATTTAACACAAATTATAACTGTAGATGATGAAAACTATGACATCAATTTGGTTAAAAAATATTAAATGATAAGACAGATTCACAATAAAGTATTGTGGTGAATAGCAAAATAAAATTACTCTAAACATATGAAAACACTAGCATACATAAAGAGTCAGCGATACAAATATAATAAAACGATTCTAGTGGACATCAAAGAACTGATTTTTTTCCCCCGATTATATAACGGCAATTTTGATAGACAGCACTAACTGAAGTTCATTATAATTTACAAGTCAAATAAAATAACAGTAGGGGCCAAAACAACTTCAAAGTTTTCAACTGTACTGATATATCAAGCTCCGATGATCCTATTTGTGAGTGAAATTAATAATATTCTGAGAAGTTCTATAATAATAAGATGATCATACACAGCACCCAATTCTATCAGAAACTTATAAATTAACTAACAACATGCACAGGTGACCAATTGTTCTCTTTGCTTACAGTTGGAACCTCATCATTCAACTGACTGTACTACCTCCATTGATATTAAATAAGATTAACAACAGCATTAAGCTTTGACAGTATTAATGTATTATTTGTGAGTGAAATGAATAACATTTACAGATGTTCTGTTGCAATAACGAGTATAGAGAGGTTTGAAAATACATGCACCCATTTCTATAAGGAACTTACAAATTAACTAGCATGCACAACTGACCAACTGCTTTATTCTGCCACAGATAGAACCAAACCATTCAACTGAATGGATTTTAAATAAGATTAACAACAATATACTATTGTTATTGCTTGAATGCTGGAGACTACTGAACAAACACAATGGCACTAGCA